GTTAAAATGTTATATTAAAAGGTAAAAACAATATTCTAGTTTAAATGATCAGGGTATCAGGTGTTCCAGTGGTTTTGAGCTCCCCTTTCTGTACATGCCGCTCTTTTTTTTTTTTTCCGGGTGATAACTTGATGCAAACATACCTTCAGTTTCATTGTCCATGCCTATCATCTCATGTCTCCCAATTTCACTGCCCCTTCTCATCTTATGTCCCCTCAATTCATTTGTCCATGCTCGTATCTCATGTTCCCTTCATTGTATTGCCTCTTCTTTCCAAGTTATGTCCCTCGTTTCATTGCCCTTTCCTTCCATCTTATAACTGCTATAATGTACATTTCTAGCATTTCATAGGCCCACCACACTCAATTTCATTACACATTCCAGCAATATCATGTATCTTTTCATTGCCAGATTCCCCTGGTGGTGTTGTGATCTTACCCTACATCTTCTTAACCTGATGTTATAGTGGTAATCCCCCCTTTGTGTTGTAAATGGTGCTTACCTCTCCATGTTTTTACCCAAGTGATACAGTGGTATCCTCTGTACTGTGTGGGAGTAGTATTGCATTGTACATTTCCCTCTACACCCTCCGTTTCTGTGTGTCCAACCTCTCTTGTTGCAAATACTTGTCTGCTAGTCCACCCAATGTTCAGCGCTGCAGTGGCGCTTTACATAAACAATAATAATAATAATGCACCTATAATTACAAAACTTAATTCCTCATGCTGATTTTTTCATATGTCATGCCATTCGTTCCATGTAACGTATAAATGATTTGTTACATTTCCTATGTTTGTACTTTGGAAACCCTTATAATTAAAACATTGAACAAGAACCCAACAATATATAAAGTAAAAAGAAAAAATCAATAAGGTAGATTGTCACTTTGTATCAGCGTTTTATCAGTCAGGGGAACATAAACCAACATCTTGTTTGTGCAATCACACTTGCTTTATCAATATCTCGATAAAGTATGTGTTATTACACATAAAATGTTTTGATCTACCAGTCTGTACTTATATTGATGGATGACGGTACTGCTTGTAGGCCAGTCACTTGATAAGTTAAATGTATTGTATTAGGTTAACACAAGCAAGAATTTTAAAAAGACAATTTCAAGCCAACATCTGTGGTTTTTGACACAACAGACCAGTCTTGGGTTGCTCTCAAGCTTGTTTTTGTAATAGCTCTTCCTTTGGTTTGGCTATGATTAGCCCACAGCTGCTAAAGATAAGCATTCTATTAATCTGTGTCAGTTTCTGTGTTTTCCAAGCTCCCAGCTGAGAGTGCTTCCTTTCTGCATCCTGTTACATGTTTATTACCCCAGGACTAAACTGAATAGGCTGTGAGTGGGATCTTTCCTAACACCTACAACAGAGATCACACTTTAAAGAGACCTATGTAATGATATGTTAGTCTGTCGAGGTTAATTTAATCACCTCTACTAGCTAGTGTCTAGAATGGTCTTGTGTAAGAATCTTTAAATCGGAACGGCAATATCAATTTGCTTACTGAATGTCAGGAATACCTATACCTCACCACTTACATCTTGGTTCAGAGACCAGAAAAGAAGAACTGAGCATATTACTATTGGCCAGGCTTAGCACAGTATACAACTAATATAGTGAAAATGATAAAACAGGCCAGGATCAGGAGAACAGAGGTACACAGAATCATGTAAACTAGCAGAGGTCAGAAGTAGACAAGGTCAAAACATTCCAAGGTCAATATGCTAGATAATCACACATAATACAGAACATGCTAAGTGGAACCAAAGGAAAAAAACAACAAATATGTCTTGGAGAGGTGATAATTTCATTCAATTCAACTTGTCTCATTTGGTTTCCTGATTGTTAAACTACTGTCAGGAGGACATATTAAAGTATTTAACCAGGAAACGTACATTCAGATTACTCTGGTTTTTAAGTACGTCCTGGGGATGTTACCTTAGCCCAAAATCCAGGGGTTGTTACTATTACCCAAATTTAATGGTACTGATTTTATCTACCTCGGAAGGATGAAATACTCAGTCAACCCTGACGGTTACAATGCATTATAATGTATATGGTTTTGTTCTAAATACAGAGTTAAGTAGAGGGTCTCCTAGTGATTTACACACACTATTTTAGACTCACTTGTTATTTACAATGGCCAGCCACTAAAGGAGCCTTTCAGTACTTTTCCTCTAGATGCGGCTATTGTCCCAATACTAGTCTAGGAACTGCACAGTGGTTAATCCCCTATGGTATACATTCAGTCCATTAGTGATGTACATTTCATGTACAAATTCATTTTATTTAAATGTTTCCTTTTTTTAGATATGTACATATTGTAGAACCCTTTTGGTGTGAAGGGTGGGGGTATCGTATATTGATTTATACGTTTTATCTGTGTCTTTATTAAAAGTTACGTTTTATTTTTGCATGAGCCGATTTCTAGTTCCATTCTATAGGGACACCAGTTACCTTATTTTCCCTCTCCTCCTGCCATTTTCTCCCTAGTTGTGTTATTATTGGTGAAGATTCTTTACTATGTGTTATCCCCCCAATCCAGGAGGTTGACTGATACTATATACCTAGTCATAGCTCTAATTTCTACTTTGCTGTCCATGTGCAGCCCTGAACAATTCCTATGTAGTTCTACAAATTTTAATAAACAATATTGTTCAGCAAGGTAATATAGTATTTGCTTTTAAAGTTACATGCTCGTTTGTACTTTGACTGAACAATGCTTTCTCCATGTCATGCTGCTTGGGAAGAACAGAAAGGACTTCGTCAAGTCAGCATTTATATCAGGAGTCCAGAGAATAGATGAACTTGCTCTCATATGGGGCCACCTCTGAAACCAGAAACAGAATCCCACTAATCAATTAACAAGATTTTGGTAAATTGATAAGGCACTGTAAGATATTGATTAACTGATCAACTGGAGGCAGACATGTTACTGGATAATGGAATGGATACAGTGCCAAGTGCTGCGGAACCCTTCATTTAGCCACATCACCCCAATTTAGAGTCCTAAAACACCAGGAGTTGGAGCCCATTGCAGGAGATGGGACAGTGAGGAGGCAAAAACCAGAAGCGCAGTACAGATGAAGGGGAAATCCAAAGGCAGGGTCAGACAAGAAGTAGAAGTCAGGGCTGGCAGCAGAGTAACATAGTCGGTAAAGCAGGCAGAGGTCAGAGTCCAGGAAATCAGTCAACAGAGTATCAAATATCCAGCAGGAAAAAAACAAACAAACTAAATGACCAGATACTAGGTTTCAGGCAGAGCTGGCTTTTACAGCCTGCTAATTAGATGCAACTGACCCTAATTGGAAAAAGGCTGCAGGTGGATCAGCACTGCTCAATCCAGGGAAGGGGGTCAAGAAGCAGAATAATGTAAACAGATACTGAAGCCCCCTGGTGGACAGCACCAGGGGGGATAACCTGACTGGGATGCTGGAGCTGCAAGTTCAAACCACAGCCAGGTCTCTTAACCCCTCACGGACACGTGACATGTCATGATTCCCTTTTAGTCCAGAAGTTTGGTCCTTAAGGGGTTAAAGGGGCAGCCACACCTTGCAGTCTGCAGGGCTCTGGGTGTACTGTGACACTTGGTGATTTAAATGTATGTATATCTGTATGAATTTTTGAAAGTTATTACAGATCAACATAAAGTAGTTTCTGATGCCAATAGTCTTTAGTGCTTATGGTTTCTGTTAAATTCATATTCTCTCTTTTTCTTCCTTTAGGCTGTTTCCAATGTATCTCAATGCTGGAGTCCTGTGGGTGCTGATTGGGCTATCTGCAATAGGGATCATTAATGCATTATTTTTACATTATTTGGGACTTGAAATCTTTTAAATGCATTGTAACACATGTGATCATCCAGAGGCTAAATAAGACAGGGAACTAGCTAGCAAGTGGATCTTATGAGTTCTGCTCAAACCAGTGTTCAAACCACTCCAGCAGTCCTGGATTTAGACATTACCCATTTCTGCTCCAATGTTGATATTAGTAAATCTGGACTGTATTGATATCCTTCAAACCCAAAATATAGGTTTTAATCTGATTGAGAAATATAGTAGATTTTGATTGGATAAAAATTGATTAGCCATATACTAATAACATGTATAAAGTGTGTATAGAACCAAATTGTTTATAGCCTGATTGCCTTCCTGCATATTGTATACCTGGAACAGAAAAATGTAAGCCCCGGATCCAAGTACCTGTGAGAAGTGTAAAGAAAGTTAAGTAAGTCTAAGAATAACCCTAAGCGGGTTGTGAATGCGTTTCACTTTTACCGTACAGCTTTAACAACAATTGAGGCTAGGGTAGGGTTACGGTAAAGTGTTAGGGTAAACATGAAATGTGTTTATAACCCGCTTAGGATAATTCCTAGCCTTTATTACCTACCCCTTTCTCACAGGTACTTGGATCTTTTTTATTATTTTTATTTTTTCTGAATTTATGTAGGTTTTTATCTAGATTGCAAGTTACTTATAAAGTGTGTGTTTTTTGTACCATGTTGCATATTATTCAATAAATAGAGTAGTTTCAAGACTCAACCTTGTGGAAATGATTTGGAGATTACTGATTACTAAGTGCGGTTCTGTTTTGGAATTGTGGTGAAGATGGAAGTTGGAACTATGGAACCAGCACCAGAAGCACAGCAGTCAAACTATCAGTTATAGTAAGTGACAACGGAGTACTTACTTAATATTTTTTCTTCCTTATCAGAGTTGCGGCATAAAGGTTATGCACAGAGGAGATTTTCTACTTTTTCTGTGGAGTTTTTTCAGTTGGTTTTATATCTGTATGGTGACTGATGGAAAAGTATATACACAAAGCAACTCAAAACACCCGTGTGCATCTCCATAACACTGCACACTACAAAATCAGTACACCACAAATAATTTCAAAAGATGGAGCGCTATTGCATTCACTTATCTTAACATCTCTTTTGGAGGTATGTAAATATTTCTTAAAAATATAAATGTTAGAACACTTATATCGTAGTATATCTTTAAATTCAAAGTGATGATAAAAATGACAAGAAAAAACTCACATGGTACAGAGCCTCAAGTTTTCACTGGGTTTAAATTGGTTTCAGATAGGAAATTTAGGTGGTATTTACGTATTACAAGTAAACTGGAAAAATATTGCATGTCCTAAATTTGTCCTAATGTTTCCTGCTATAAAACAAGTCACTAGAGATTGGAGAGGTGAGGATTTTGTCATAAAATTTGTATTTAAAAAAAAAAAAAAAATTGTAACACTTGCTTACACTGTGAGTATTGGGAGTGGGACTTTAAAATAAATAATGTGGAGAGAACATATCAATGTCTAACCAGTGGTTTATTTTGGAATTGTGCTGCCCTAGGCACAACTAAATTTGGGCACCCCCCCTAATCTAAATTTGCCTCACCAATTTATGTCAGGGCCACTTTTTTGACTGACAGACACACGCCCTCATTGATACATGCACTGACATACACTCACTGACAGATACAGTCATTGGCATACATATGCAGTCATTGGCACACACACTGTTTAACCAACACACTTTCACTGAGACACACATTGACACACCCACTCATTGACAGATGCATACTCTCATATACACTGACAGAGGCGGCTCTCTAATTAGGCGGCCGCCTAAGGCCTCGCGCTGTGTGGGGCCTCGCAGCCGCCTAAACCACCATAGAGCAGACTGACATGTCGGGTCCTCGAGGACCCGACACAGAAGGGGACCCGGCGGCTTGCCCCTCCTGTCAGTCTGCCCGGGAGAGCCAGCCTTCAGTCTGCAGCTCCGCCGGGTGTGAGCTGCAGATTGAAGTGTCTCGCGATCTCTAGCCAATCAGAGCGTTGCCGCGGGTTACCACGGCAACTCTCTGACTGGAGATCGCGAGACATTCACCATGTGGTCTGCAGCTCTGCATCCGGCAGAGCTGCAGACCGGAGAGCCCACTGGACCACCAGGGAGTCTGCCACCACTGGACCACCAGGGAAAAAGGAACCTGCCACCACACCTGTCACCCCCCTCACCCTGTCAGCCCCTCACTCTGCCACCCCACCGGTCACCACCCTCACCCTGTTACCCCACCTGTCACCCTGCCACCCTGTCACCCCATCTGTCACCCTGCCACCCCACCTGTCACCCCATCTGTTACCCTGCCACCCCTCCTCACCCTGTCACCCTGCCACCCCACCTGTCACCTCATCTGTTACCCTGCCATCCCCCACCCTGTCACCCCTGCACCCCCCACCCTGCCACCCCACCTGTCACCCTTCCACCCTACCTGTCACCCCCACCCTGTCACCCCCACCTGTCACCTCCCTTCCCCTGCCACCCCATCTGTCACCCCCTCACCCTGCCACCCCACCTGTCACCTCCTTCCCCCTTCCACCCAACCTGTCACCCCTCTCTCACCCTGCCATCCCACCTGTCACCCCCCTTTCACCATGCCACCCCCTGTCACCTATTCTCACCACACCTGTCACCCCCTCTCACCATGTCACCCTAATCCTGTCACCCCACCTCCAACTCTGTCACCCACCCTGTGTCACCCCCACTATGTCAGCCCCCTTACTCACCCAGTCACCCCACTCACCCTGCCACCCCACTCACCCTGCCATCCCCCATCACCCTGCCTCACCACCTGTCACCCTGACACCCCACTGTCACCTCTGTCACATCCCACCTGTCACCTCCCTCTCACCATGCCACCCCACTTGTCCCCCTCTCTCACTCTGCCACCCCACTTGTCCCCCCTCTCTCACTCTGTCACCCTACTTTCACCCTGTCATCCCACTTGGTACCCCTCACCCTGCCACCCCCCCTCCCTCACCCACTCTCACCATGCCACCCCACCTGTCACCTCCCTCTCACCCCCTCTCACCTTGTCACCCCACCTGTCACCCCTCACCCTGTCACCTCCCTCTCACCCTGCCACCCCGCTTCTTACTCTGTCACCTCACTCTGTCGCTCCTTACACACTAGGTCATCCCACCTCACACTTTCACCCCCTCACACTATGTCACCCCCTCTTATTCTGTCACCCTCCCTCTCACTCTGTCACCCCCATCACACTGTCACCCACCCTCTTACTCTGACACTCCCCTCTTACTCTGTTACCCACCTTCACTATGTCACCCTTCCTCTCACTCTATCACACCCCTTACACTAATGTAACCCTCACACTCTGTCACCACCCCTCACACTCTGTCACCACCCCTCACACTGTCATTTTCCCCACACACTCTGTCACCCCTGTCGGCGCACACTGACACCCCACTCGGCGAACACTGTCACCCCTCCATACACATTGTCACCCCCCTCCATACACACTGTCTCTCCCTCCAAACACACAGACACCACTCTCCACACACACAGGCACCTCCCTTCATTCTCACTGTCAACCCTCAACACTCTGGCACCCACCTCCATACACTCTGGTACCCTCCTGCTCTTTTGCACTCACCCTGCCACAGTTACCCCTTTATTCACCCTGTCACCCCCTGAAGGCAATAATTATACACACTGTCACAAAGGCCACAGGCAGTACACAAACATACACATGCTCAGTGAAACATACATACATATACAAGGTGTCAGGCTCCCGCGGACGGCTGCGAGGGGAGGCTGCACTCCGCTCGCAGTACTCACCCTCCAGCCGTCCGCGGTCCCCTCCGCCTCGTGGGTACGGCGAGCGGCATCCTTCCAGCCTCGGATGCCGCCCGCCGTTCCCTCCACGTCCCCCAGCGGCAGCATGCATGACGCTGCACGCTGGGAGACCGCCCAGGTTTATACACGCCGGGGTCAGTCACCTGACCCGGCGTTAAAGGCACAGTGCCTCAATCACAGTGGGAGGTCTAAATATCTCCCACGTGTGATTGTTAATTCTGATTGGAAATCATCCAATCAGAATTAACCTGATGGTTTAAATACTTACCTTTCCTGTTCCTCTTGCCCTGTTGTGGTCTTTGCTTGTTAGTATTGATTCTGAACTTGTGCTTCTGGTTACGTACTCTCTGGCTTGTTATCCGACTCTGTGACTTTCTCCTACCCTTTGACCTCGGCTTGTTTCACGTTATTCTGTCTTCTGGTTCCCCTTACTCGGCTTGTTTCCTGACTATTCTTTGTGTGCTTAGCCCGGCCACTCTAAGGTCCGGTACGGCACTTTGTGTGTGTGTGTGTGTGTTGGCGTGTTTGGTTCCCCGAATCGTGACATTACAACAGGGCCATAATGGAACCTGCTGACATACCACAGCTCCTAGTTAATCAAGAGGCTAGAATGGATGGCTTAGACCACCGTATGGATCAGTTTGCTCAAGCTTTACAAACCATTCTGGCTCGTACTGCACACTTGCAACCGGCCGTCAGGAGGCTGCTGCTGCTGTGCCCGAACCCATTCCCACTCCAGTACCTGTTCCCGCTCATGTAGTTCACATGACGCCGCCACAGCGCTACAGTGGTGACCCAGCATTGTGTCGTGGTTTCCTCAACCAAATCGACATCCATTTGGTGATGAATCCACGCTCCTATCCCACTGACAGATCTAAAATTGCCTTTTTGATAAACCACTTGTCCGGGAGAGCTTTAGCATGGGCCAACCCCATTTGGGAAAATACGTCTCCTAAGTCCTTTGCTGATTTTCTGACAGCTTTCAGACGCACGTTTGATCAACCCGGTAGGGTTGCTTCTGCTGGCAAGGCTCTGCTTAGGGTCCGACAGGGTAACAGGTCTCTAGCAGATTACACTATCGAATTTCGTACTCTAGCAGCTGAAGTGGTTTGGAATAATGACGCCCTCGTAACAGCCTTTCAGGAGGGTCTGGCCGCTTATATACTGGATGAAATAGCATCCAGGGAATTACCTGCTCTTCTAGATGATGTTATAGACTATGTGATTCTTATAGATAACCGTATTAGAGAGAGGCGTAGCCAAAGACGGTTGGATACACGGGTGTTACCTGCTCTACCCAGTACTTCCCTGCTAGCGTTACCCGCTCCTGTGCAGCCATCCCCTGAACCCATGCAGTTGGGTGCTACAGGGTTAACTGAGGCCGAAAGAGCGTACCGTAGAAGGGAGGGGTTATGCCTTTATTGTGGGAAGAGGGGGCATCACTGTAAAGCCTGCCCTAAACTACAGGGAAACTGCAGCACCTAAGGCCTAGAGAGGGGTCGGCCTCGGGTGTTATGACTTTGTCCCCTCATATGTCCATCTCTAGACCGTTTATTACGGTTTCTCTCTTGGTCAATAAAACCACTATAACAACCAAAGCCCTGATCGATTCAGGTGCGGCAGACAACCTTATGGATGAGACCTTTGCCAAAACCGCAGCCCTGAATTTGATTCGAAAGGAGACACCCTTGGCCGTTGAGGCCATAGATGGTAGACCACTGGAGAAACCTCTGGTGACCCATGAAACCCAGGAAATAGTTATGTCTGTGGGTGTTTTGCACAAAGAGAAGTTAACCTTCCAAATAATTAACTCCCCAACAGCCTCCATCGTTCTAGGTTTTCCCTGGTTAGTTAAACACAACCCTGTTCTTGATTGGGGTTGTTTAGACATACTTTCCTGGGGGGAATCTTGTCAGCGAGACTGTGTGGCTCATGTACGTCCTGTCTGTTTACTTAACGTACCCACGGCTAAACCACTCTCGGTTTCTGTGCCCTCTGTTTATGCGGATCTTGCCTTGGTTTTTGAGAAGAGGGAGGCAGATAAGCTACCTCCACATCGTGAGTATGATTGTGCCATAAACCTCTTACCGGGCACTATGCCTCCTAGGGGAAAGGTCTACCCTCTTTCTGAAAAAGAGAACCAAATCATGGAGGAGTACATACAGGAATCCCTAAGAAAAGGTTTTATTAGAAGGTCCTCCTCTCCTGCTGGTGCTGGTTTCTTTTTTGTGGCTAAGAAGGAGGGTGATTTGAGGCCATGTATAGACTACAGGGGTCTGAACAATATAACGGTTAAAAACGCCTACCCTATCCCCCTCATCACTGAGTTGTTTGATCGTGTTAAAGGTTCTAAATTTTTCACCAAATTAGACCTCAGGGGGGCTTATAACCTTGTCCGTATAAAGGAGAATGACGAGTGGAAGACAGCCTTCAACACACGCAGTGGGCATTACGAATATCTGGTCATGCCTTTTGGATTGTGTAATGCTCCTGCCGTGTTTCAGGACCTCATAAATGATGTCCTTAGGGATCTATT